CTTTTATTAAGGATTTTAATTACAATAGTAAAATCTAATAAACTAAAAAAGAAAGAAAAATAGAAAGTGAAAAGTGCAAAAGGAGAAAAAACTTAGACAATAGAAAGAAAAAAAGTAATAAAGTAAAGCAAGATAAAAGAAATATATAAAGAAGTGAGTTCCAACCTGCATGACAAGTATAAACAATTTTTGTAACTCTTCACCCTCTTAGTTTACAACCAATGATGTCTTCATCCCATATCCCATCTCTTATCTATAGACAAATCCATAAAGCATCATCTTTTCAGTGATGTCTTCATCCCATATCCCATCTCTTATCTATAGACAAATCCATAAAGCATCATCTTTTCAGTCCTAGTTTCAGCAGAAAATCCATTAAGGGTTATCAGAAATAACAACATATCTTATTTTAACCTTAATCAAATAAACCAACTTTATATTCCTTCCTTTTACTTCTAACAGTCTTAATCTTTAGTCCATTCAACTAATGTCATAGAATTTGATTTCTTTTCATTTCTTCTTTGTCCCTTCTCACAACATTCTTCAAAGATTTAACAAGTTTCTTTTGTAAATCCAATATAAAAAATTATCCAGGCCACTCTTAGTTTATTATTTGTATTTCCCTTTTGATTTTTAAAACATCAACTGGTTTCTTTTGTATGTCCAGTGAGATGATTTTTCCATCATTCTTGTAGCCTGTTATTTGTAGATCCACTTTTCATGCCATCTCTGTCTTGTCCAATAAAACTTGTTCCTCATCTGCCATTTCTTCTGTAACATCTTTTGGATACAGTATATCCATAGAAGCAAACATCGCTATTGACATTGTTGATATTAACTTCTGATTCAATTTTTCAAAAGCGTCCTTCAGTATTTTCAATGTTATTATGTTTTGTGTCATTTTATAAGTCTCTGTTAATGAGGCTTGTGTATTTTTCTCCTTTAGCTAAAATCTTTAGTTCCCTCTAATGTCCAACTTTTAAAAATACTTATTTTTATTTTATCTTGCAGAAGTCCAAACAAATCTCTTTCCCATGGGAAGGAGTCTTTATAACTAATTCCAAAATCTTATTCCAAATTTATCTGGACCCTTAATTTATTACTTTCTAAGTTCAAAGTCTTTAGCTTTTTGCTGCTTATTTCAATTTTTAAAAATTCTTAAGATTAAAATTTTCTTTCATTAAGGATTGAAGACAAACTCACCTGGCATTTTCAGACTTGTGGATCCAAAACTCTCTAATAGCTTAAAAGTAGTTAACAATTTCCCAACGTGATTAGAAGTTTGTGAACTTAATATCCTTTAAAAGGCGCCAACTGGAGGTGCGAGCAAGATGGTTATTCTCACAGTCTTGCAGCACTCAAAACCTGCTGGGGACCACTGTCTTGTGGTCTCTTCTCAAGGAGCAATTGTTCGAAGCACATGTGGACAATCTCCTGTCCTCTCTTTGTCCAGAGAGGTTCAAAGAGCCAGTCTACTCACCGGCTCTTCATTCTTTGCTGCAGTCATTGGCTCCATTTTTTGTGGAGCCGTCTTCAGTCCTCCATTTCTTTATCCAGAAGCAAATTAATTATAATTTTAATCTATAAACATATGGCACGTAGATGTTTAAACAGTCTTCAATTGACATTCATGTACTGGATACTGCAGTTCTTTATTCTATGCCTTCTCCTGAACATTTAATTTAGCATATTCTAACAACTGTTTATGAACTGTTATTATAGGTTTATTATTTTGTAAAGAAAATGTTGTTCTGTCACCTCATATTAAAGCAGGTTGGCTGCCAGCCTATATCTAGATGTGAAATGCATTTATCTGAAGTTATCACTACTTTTTTAGCAAATGATAGTAATGTTGTAACATATAACAAAAATATATCCTCTAAGATTAATAACTGAACTATTAATTGACCAGACAGGTTCACCAACAGAAAGATTGCTTGCTATTTTCAGGTAGTATATAATTCCCACTTGATGTTTCTAATAGGGAAAATGTCCATTCGTTAATCTGAGCGAAAAATATGACTTACTGTACAAAAATATTTCTTTTCTGTAATAAATCTTTTGAAAAATATGTGTCCTGTATTTTTAGGAGTCATATGTATGGAAAATGTACCAAGAAAGATGTTGGGATTTCTTCCCAGCTGGAGACTGCTTCCGTAAACAGTATGAAGATCAGCTTGGATAAAAATACCAACAAAGTTACTACATTCAATGTAAACAAAAATAAAATTCTTACAGATTAGTGGCATAATATACCTATTGCTTATGTTTGACCTCTAAGTAAATAAACAAGTTTGTTCAGTTTTGAATTGATCTAGATTAGCTTTTTGTACCTGGCAGAAACAGGCTCTGCATTATTTGGATTTCAGTTTGTTTGTTTTTAAGTGAGGCAGAGCAAAAAGTAATGTTTAAACATTTCAGTTCAGTACGTTAATTCAGGAATCATTACTTGTTTTTAATCAGTCCTTTAGGATATAGGAAATAATGTAGTTGAAAGGGCTATATCATAGTTTTGCAATTGAAGACTTTGAATGTCAGGTGACAATGACTTAATCATGGACTCATATGGTGAACTCAATATTTCAATCAGCCTTGTTTTTCCCTGTGCCATTTCTTAGTGTAACAATATAGATAGAACGTTTTTAACTATTCAGTGCTTAAAATTTTCAAATACTTTATTCTAAAATCTAATTAAGTGCCTTAACTCTTTCCAGATTTAGCTATGCAAAGTACTTTTTTTAAAATGTTAGTCTTTTAGATTGACATTTTTGTTATTTGACTGTGGTGCTTTCCAGTCTTACCGTATGAGATACTTGAAATTTAGTCATATACTTGTTACAAAACTGCTTACTACATGCAGCTGGTTAAAAAAAACTGTCTCACAACTGTGCAGAATTAAACTAGTGATTAGTTGTAATGTTAATGCATTTTTCTTCAAATAAAAATACCTACTGCAATAAAGAATTTGCAAAACAAAACTGAATGTTATATTTCATTGTGTTATTGATGTCATACCAAAACATAACTCACAATTGTACCTGCAAGCGAAATTTATTTTATTTGTTTATCGCACAGAATCTAACGAGCCTTTTATACATTTGCAACTTAGGTTTCCTTTTATTATGCTCTATAAAAACTTCAAATTAATATTGTTAAATTTCTTTAGCTAATGAAATCCAGAGAACTGCAAATACACAAGTAGCATTATTAAGCTTCAAGACTAGGCAGTCACCCTGATTAAATATTTGTAAACATATTTTACAATTAGGAATTGTCATCTTAAATTATTTTCACATACTTGTATTTATTTATTTATTTATTGTTATGATAAACAAAACATAGGTTTTAGGAGATCATGCTATCTAACCAGTCCTCCAGTTCTTCTTCAGTAATATTTTTGGTTGTAACTTCTTGTAGTTGAGAAGTTGAGCAAATTTCTTCAGTTCTATCTGGTTCTAAATGATCTGTCAAAAGAAAAGCCAGAAATTAAACAATTACTTTCTGGAAAGAAAAGGCAAGGGAAATGATAAATATCCTGAGAGCCAACTACGAAAAAGTGCCACTATCTAATCTCTGCAAAATGAAGATTTTTTCAGAAAGAAAATGGGTGGAAGTATGCCTCCATTAACAGTAACCAAAGAAAGCCTCACCCAATTAATAACAAGCTGCAAAAAATACTGGCTCTGTAAAGAGGTCACAGGTGGTCTAACTTCTCATTCATACATTTTAAGATAGAGAATCTACTACAAGAATTGTCTCTCAGATGATCAAGAATCCATAGCTTGATAGGCCATTGATAAAGCAGAAAGGCCAAGGTTTGGTATAATATAAAATTACATGGAAAGTAGGCCTGTTGTCTTCGCTAAAAAAAATCTCCATCCTGTCCAAGGAACACATTTGGAGAAACATGTAAAGCAATTATTAAAGAATCTATATTTCACACTAATGGTGATGGGGCTTAGTTATAATCATGGTCAAACTGTATTGAGGCTTCCTTCACATCCAGAGAGAGGGAGGGAGGGAGGGAGGGAGGGGAGGGAGGATATATAAAGTTTAAAAATGGGCTACCCTATTCCCTTAAAATGCCATTTCCAAATTTCAACTGAACAGCCATTGCAAGTTCAGCAGAAAGAAAGTGGAGAGAAGTAAACATATGTATCCCTTTAAGATAATGTGGCTTCTGCCAATTTTTAAAATCTACACACACATTTCTGTTCTTTGGGTTTGGAAAATCCTGCCTCCAGACTATCCTTTGAAGCCCAGATCTCAATCCATAAAATAAAATATCATCTATACCACAACTAGGATTATAGGTCTTAGCTTGCTGTCCAAATTAATAGCTCCATCCTTGTTGCTGCTGGCTTGGGCTTTCCTTTTACCTGGCTTCCTCCCAAATCTGAAGATGGGAACTACCAAAGCCTAAAGCAAAATGATGTATCCTCTCCTTTCTTGTAAAAGTCCACTGTAGAGGCCAAACACACTCTCCTGATTGGCTCCTCAGTGTTTCATTTCCCTGGGCTTTGTTCTTCTCCATTCATTTCCACAGATCAGCTGAGTCTCCTTTAATCCTTGCAACATTTGGACCTCTTGAAGTAGAATTTTCCCACTTCCTGATCTAGATGAAATGGTGAATTAACTTTTGGAATAAAGTTAGGATCAGATCTCAAAGCTACTGAATCAATGTTAAAAGTGCACACCTTCTTCTGGAAAGAGCCCTATTCTGAGACTCCTTAGGTGATGCCATAAGACAAGCTATTTTCCAAGACAGCACACTGAATGAAAATATATCTAAGAAGTTCAAAGGGAGGCCAACTTTTGGCATAATCTCTCTTTTCTGAGAGGAAAACCTGTGTTTGGAATGGAGGACGGGTGGCAGTTCTGTTTGCTGATCCCAGGGGGTTTCTTGGTTTTCTTGGCGCTCAGGAGATGAAACAAAAGAAGAGATGCTTAGGGGCCAGTAGAAGAAAACAAAGAGTAAATCCAACTGAACACATGTGAGGGCCTCTATGTGGCAATAAGGGTGGCAAAATGTAGTTAATTTTATGCTTTTATTGCATTTGCAGATAACTGTCCAGTGGCCCTTTCTAAGGTGACCCATTTGCTGCTGGAGAGGGATGGGCCACAGGACCATCTACTGGACTGCTCACATGGCACTCAGATGGAGAACAGTTTTGCTCCTACCTAAGATCACTAGAATGCTATACTGAGATAGGCAATAGAGGGTCATCTGAATGTCAAAATTACCCCATTTGAGCAAATGAAAAGATAATCCCGGCAAAGGTATAAGTGATCATGCTGTTTCTATAGGAAGTTACTACCACTTTAATGATTTCTGTGAATATTCATGTGTTTATGATATACCAAACTGTAACACCATATATTGGAAACATGCCTTCTAACATTTGAATTAGAGTAATTTCCTATGAGCTACAGGGATTGGAACAGTAGATAAGCCTTGCCCTGAAAGCATATCATGCCTACCTTTTGGACACATTTAGAACCTGCAGTAGCTTACAAACTGATTCATTCTATTTAGATTGACTATGCTTTTCCATCTCCATTGCTTTTCCACTTGATAAGAATATTAAAGAAGAATTGCAGAATTTTTGTTCTATTATCACTAAGTTCTGAAGTTAAGCTTCAAAATCTATCATGGATCTTTCCATGGTCATGTTAAAGATCCACATACCAAATGTGAAGCATGGGCAAAGCAGTGCAGAAGAAGGTACAGGTAGTCCTTGTTTAACATCCACTTGTTTGGTGACTGAAGTTATGACAGCACTGAACGAAGGGAACTTATGACTGGTCCTTCTAGTTGTGGCACTGCAGCATCCCCACAGTTACATAATCATGATTTGGATGCTTGGTGACCGGCTCATAATTAGGACATTCAGCATTCCGCGGTCATGCAATCACCATTTGTGACTTTCACTGCTGGCTTCCAACAAGTAAAATCAATGGGGAAGCTAGCAGTAGGTTGCAAACAGTGATCACATGACCATAGGATACTGTAACCACATGTGATTCGTCTAATGGTGGCAACTGGGACTGCCAGAACTGCCATTGTAAGTCAGCGTGGTCGCGTAACGTCACGCCTGCTTATCGACAGAGTTCCCAGTCCCAATTATTATCAGTAAGTGAGGACTACCTGTAACCCAAATTATCAGTGGCTTCAACAATTTCTTTACAAGAAAAGGATACAACATTTGGGATTTTTTAGCTTAAAAAAAAAGGTATACAAATTGAGCTATATAAGATTAATGGCATGAAGGAAGCGGTTAGGGAGAAAGTTTCCTCCCTTTCTCAGAATGAAGAGTCACTCAGTGAAGCTGACTGCTTGGTGGAATATTACATCTGCAAGGCTGTGATGTTATTGCAACAGTTTCTGCAATCACAGAGTTTTTATTTATTTTTATTTTATTTATTTATTGGATTTCTCCCACCCATTTCCCCCACAATAGGGTAGTATTATAAAAAACACAAACTTGACACAAGCTTGATGGTATCATTCTCATCTAACTCTGTGCGATGTTGAGCAAACTCAATGGTATAGCAACACAACTAAATTCGGGAACATTATACTTGTACCATGAAGACTTGAGGATTTCTGATGCATGGAAAGAGGTAAAACTGATAGAAGTCACTGAAACTCTGAGAACTATCTGCACTGTTTTCTGTTGGTCTTGTACACACACACACACACACACACACACACACACGCAGACAAAAACAGATTTCAAGTAATGAATGCTTCTGAATGTGAATCAATGATTTTCAGACCTCTCAATTGTGTGCTAGATGTGAACAACTATTTGAAATATTTAGACAACTATAATCTTACTTTGGAATACTTTGAGCAAGATAAAGATCACCATCCAGTTTCTAAAAACTGCTACAAACACCTAAAAAGTTAAAAGTCTTGATGTTTTGTCAGAGCTGCTTCATGATTAATGCTGTTTCAGAAATGCAGCCTGGTACTTCTTGAAACATTTCCTCTGGCACACAGTAAATTGAATCAGAGGACAATATTTTGGTGATTCATTTTCATGGAGTGATAAAGTTAAGATTCTTCTATATGTGAGCTTGCAAGAAAATAATCAACTGGATACTTATTCCATACTTATTTTCATAAATATCTGGTGTGCCCACCTGCCAGACAGGTTTCCAGAGAATGAAGTCAAAATGGGTCTGCTTTTGACTACACAGCAGCAGCACAGTGTGATTTCAGATTTGACATTAAGCAGATCGATTTCTTATGTTTCAAATACAAAGACTTTCTTGCTGAAAATACCATTACAGTCAATAAGTACTATGATTTAAAAGTTTGGAGTAGAAAAAAAAAATCAAAAGAAAATTAGTATCACGTTATCTGGATTTGGTGACATCTGCATATCAGAATCAACCATCTCATAATCTGGTACAGTTGGTGAATACAGGTAGTCCCCGGGCTAAGAACACCTGGTTTAAGGATGACCCATAATTAAGAATGGAACCTGTTATAGCAAAATTTGAGTTAAATACACAATGGTTCGAGTTAATTACACAATACTACTTATACAGCAATATACAATAATACTGTTCGGGCTTACATACAAATTTGACTTAAGGACAGATCTTGGGAACCGAACTTGTTCTTAAACTGGGGACTACCTGTATTCCTAGCACCCAGGGCAGACTGTAAGAGTGATTCCAACTTAATGAACACTCTAGAAAACAAATTATGGAATAGGTTACAGCTAGATTACTTGGTTATGCTTAACTCTCTCTTACGAATCATTAAACTGATGGGGGACTGTATGATCTGGAGAGAGTTTTTTGTGCCTGGGCAAATGCTAAGAATTGCAGGAAAAATTATGAAGTACGTTAAACATTTTTCTCTGAAGTCTCTGATCCACAAGACCAGTACTTCTCAACCTTGGTAACATTAAGATGTGTCGACTTCAATTCCCAGAATTCCTTAGCCAGCCATGCTGGCTGGGGAATTCTGGGAATTGAAGTCCACACATCTTAATGTTGCTAAGATTGAGAAACACAGCACTGACTCAGGCCCACTAAACAAGGCAAGGTAGGCAAGAATGCATTTACTATACTTTATTTTAGCTTCATGGGCATTTATTAATACTGTAAAATTATTTTCACCTCAAATTAAGTGTTTTAGCAGGCTATATACTGCTTGGATGCACTCACCCAACAGTGCACATCTCTGAACTCTGGTTCACAAAATGGCACAAAAGGAATGTGTTGCACATACAGCCTATCCAATAGGAAAGGTAATACTGTTCTCAAAGCATCTGTTTGGCTGCTGTCATTAGTTAAATGCTGGACTAAGGTTGCCTCTGGTCTGATCTAGTAGCTCTATAATGTTTCTAGGTTAAAATAGCAGCTTTATATCAAAGCGATCAGAAAAACATTCCATGAACTGCAACTCCCAGCCTTCTCTTTCATGAGAACTACTATATTATCATTAAGAAATTTTAAAGATCACCCGGTAAGCCAGAGTCAGCGTCATGACATATGTGACAGTTCGAGATGATATCTGTGGGATCCTAACATTAAGTAAAAAAAAGTTTTTTAAAAAATTAAAAATGGTAAAAATGTCATGAGATTATACAATCTCACAAATCCTGATTTCAGGTGTTTTACATGAAACCATGAAAGATTTGGGACAAAAATGCTAAAACCCCAAGATTTCTAGGATTAATGCCAAAATCTTGCAAGACACACAAAAAATAGCAATAATAAAAAAATCATTAGGTGATAACTTTAATTTTCCACTTTTGTGCCTGATGGTGGGCTATAGTACACAAAAGCTTATGACACTGTAAAAAATGAAAAAAAAAAAAGAATGCTGGATTTTGTGCCTTGACATCAGAATAATCCTTGTCATCATGCCACCGTTGGTTGCCCTAGTCACAGCTCCATGAGGAAAAAAGACATAACTTGAGAGACAGCTTTCATTTTACCAAATGCTCTGCTATATTTCTGATTGTTAGATTAGGTGCCATCAAGTCGTTTTTGACTCCTAGCAACCGCATAGATAGATCTTCTCCATGATGATCTATCCCTAACCTGTTCTTTCAAGTCTCCCAATGGCACACTCATTGCCACCATAACTGAGTCCATCCACCTTGCTGCTGGTTCTCCTCTCATTATTATCTAGTCTCTTGTTTCAAGCCGCCGTCTGATGATTTTGTGAGCTGTTTAGCTATCTGGTCAAGTGACAGATTTATTTTATGCATGAGACCAGTGAATTAATTTCTTGTAGTGTCACTTCAACAAAAGGGATATTCAAGGGAGTTATTTTACAAATAATTCTTTTTTCACAGCCCCCCTTCAACATACTTGTCTAAAATTCTGCAATGATATTTCACACTAAAGCTGCTATTACTGCTGTAAATCTCACAACTGTGTGTGTGGGTGTGTAAGTGTGTAAATAAGATTGAGAAATGTTGCCAAATCCCTTCCCTGATTTTTATGAAATTTGGCATGCTTCACTGTCACAAAAATCTAGGTTTCCTGTAATTTTTATTGCACTGTACTAAAAAATAAGACTCTATCTGTACTTCTACAAAAAGTTATGGGAGAATGGAAATTTCTTTCTCTTAACCTTATTCTGGATCTGGGCGTCAATTCAGATTTAAGTGACTCAGGCCAGATCAGACTCCTGCAAGAATTCCAGCTCAGGATGTATGTTTAGTCGTGTGAAAAAGAAAGTACACCCTCTCTGAGTTCTATAGTTTTATGTATAAGGACATAATAAAAATCATCTAGTCCTTAGCAGTTCTCAAAAGTAGGTAAATACAACCTCA